ATTTCGTTTATTTTTGGATCGGTTTAGGATTGGAAACGACTTGATCCCAATCATCATTCCAAGTTTTCGCGAATATACTCATTCAGTTACATAGGATATTTGAGAATGCTCAGGCTGTGGATCTAATTCAGGAATTAGAGGGAATTCATCACAAGTCTATAATACTTATAATATGAAAAGTACACCTCACAAAATGTAATAATATTTGAGCTTCGTAGGGTTTTTAATAAGAATTATTTTTAAAAAACTCACCAAATAATAGTAACAAAAACTAAGCGAACCAAATAGGCACAAACGCGTGCAAAAAATATTAAAAATTATGGCGAAAATTGAAAACCGCAAAATATCAATTACGATTACGAACTTGACATAGTGACATCTTATGCATTCATTCAGTGAACCGACTATAAACTGATATTATTCGCGAAATTTCAGTACCAATAGATGGCGCTACATTATGGCGGAAATACAGTGAACAACAAAGCCAATTTGTTGAGGTTAGTTGGTGTTATGTAAATTCTGTTCTGTGTCGTGTTTGTGATTTATATAACAGGAATTATACATAAAAAAAGATATTCTGTATAAATCAAAAAAGTCCCAAAAAATGCCTGCAAATTTTTTTTGTTGTTCACTGATTTTTGAGTACCAAAGTTGATCATAGATGTTGCCTACTTCGGGAGCGAATTAATTTTAAAAGCAATCAAATTACAAATTAACGGCACAATCCATTACTTGCACGGTTTTTTGCCTGGCCTAGCTCCATATCTCTCACACTGCGTTTGAATCAGTTGATTAGCGATTGAGAAAGTCCATCTCGAAGAATTTGAGATTAATTTGAAAGACCGCCCTTATAAGCCCCACGAATTTATGACCTACGGTAGGTACCAAGTTTTTTTTTTTTTTCTGGAAATTTTAATAAACGGATTTTTTTTGAAATGTTGTTTGTTAGATTTTCAAAAATATTTTAGCTTTGCCGGTTTTTACTTACGCTAATCAATGAAACTATATCAAATCTGTGTTATAGGAAAGTACCCCATTGAACACACATGTTTATCGCGACAATTACAAGCAGTTTAGTCTTTGTTCGAGACATAACTTTGACAGGAACAATAAATATTCTAACGTCATAGTATTCCGTTTTAATTACCGAAGCGACCGCCAATCATAGCATACGTCAACAGGGTAATTGTGTTGGGATTGGGCCAACGAATTTACTTGATCGACACTTGCCATCAGATTTATCGGAGCCGATTTATGCGGGATACTAATTGTAGTAATTTGGGAATTTATGTCGCGCACTCTAGGTTTAATGGCTCTAAAAAAGTACAAAACCGAAGGGGGTGCGATTTTAATGACGGGCTTAAATGGCCTAGGGACAAAGGTTCCGGGGCTTTAGCATGCATATTGTGGACATTATGTGAAAAGCTTTTCATCACGTACTTTTTTGAAAAACTTTCCTAACATAATGTTGATACGCACATTATAATTTCCCATCATAACTTGAAAAATTATGATATACGCTTAATAAAAGAAATTAGAATCCTTCAAGAACAAAGAGCATCATCGCGATATATATTTTTATTTTCCATCATCCGTGCACAGTTTTTATTTTCTGTGTTCGAAAGCATCCATCAGTGTGAGAGGCGTTTACTTTACCAAAGAGGGGATCCATCTATCAAAATAGCATTGCTTTATTGTTTTCCAGAGTTATTTGCAGGTGCATCCTTATATTCGAGTATTTTTATCAAGCGTGTTGGATTTTACGGCTTCTGCCTTGGGATGCGATATCAAAACGAGTGTGGCGATTTTTGAAACAGTAAAACTTATTTGTTTTCACTTTATGCATTGTCTTGCAAAATAGAAACGAATATTGCCTGATAGTGAGAGAATTCTAAGCACCTTTATTTTGCAATGAATAAATCCACATGGATTGGTTTGGTTGTACGCGTTAGTTGGACTAGGATGATTGAAACAAGGATTTTGGCTTAGTCTTTTTTTGCAATTAGATTTCAACAAGATTCACTTTTTATTTCTTTTATAAAAAAGAGTAGGATTATTACGTTATTAACAACGCTCTAGTGAACAGAATATTGTAGCGGTGCGCTTTCGCCATGGTGTACAGAATCTAACTCAAAATCTAAAAAATACTGACTTATTCGGGCAAAGAGATTATCGCGTTTATACTGGATTTTACAAGAATGGATTACAAATATATAGAGGCCGGTATTAGTTAGTTGTTTTAGTTCAAGATTGGCTGTGACATGATTTTAGACAGTGAATTTTGTAAGAGTTGTAAAGAGTTAAGTTGTTTGAGTTGATTAGTGACGTAATTAGTGTCAGAGTGTATAGTAACGTGGAATAAATTATTGTTGTGGTAATTGAACTTTGATTTTGAAATAACAAGTTTCTATAATTAGAAAAACATTAGACAAGTCTCGGGCAATCCAACCGCTCACTAGAAACCTGTCACTACGAACAATCACGGGCGAATCGACACCATTTTAAGGAGAAGCTATGGTTGAGCTTACTTTTGGATCTACCACTTTTAGGCACAGAACATAAGTCGGCGATATAGAAGATGGTTTTATTTTGGGAATAGATTTGATCGGCCAACATGGTTTTTCTTTCGATCCTTCTATGAACATCCTTAAATTTGGTAATGAAGAATTTGTCCTAACTACACAAGAAGAATCCCAAGCCGTTAAGATCCCGGCCACAAACCCAGTGAGGATTCCTGGAAGTTCTGAGAAGATCATTTACGGAAAACTGGAAACAAACCCTGGTTGCTGCGTTGGACTAACACATAATTTTATTGGGGATAAACCAGAAAAATTTCTCGTTGGAAAGACTCTAGTGAGAACAAACGGAGATATTATGAGAAGAATTGCCAATGTTTTTTCTGAAACAGTAAAAATAAAGGAAGGAGAATATGATCGGAACTCTCGAACCTGTTGAGAAAATATCGAACTGTGACATTTTGTAAAACCGAAATTGGATACAGACACCTTGATGCAGACTTTGAAGAAGTCATGGAAACACCTCGACCCAGAGAGACTTCAAGAAGTCAAAGATTTCATTTTGAAAGAAGCAGACGTATTTGTGATGGGTAATCAAACCGGACGGACCAGTTTAATTAAACACAAAATTGATACTGGATTGGCACGCCCAATTAGACAACCACCTCGACGTATGCCAGTAGCTAAACAACAGGAAGTGGAAAACCAAATTGATAAAATGCTTCAAGAGGGAATTATTGAAGAGTCAAAAAGTCCATGGTCTGCACCAGTAGTATTGGTTACAAAGAATGATGGAAGTCTTAGATTTTTTGTGGACTACCGTAAGCTTAATTACATCACCAAGAAGGATAGCTTCCCTCTTCCGAGGAAAGACGATACATTAACAACTCTATCGGGCTGCAAATGGTTTTCCACCTTGGATCTTAAGAGCGTATACTGGCAAGTGGCCATACACAAAGATGACAAAGATAAAACTGCCTTCAGTACCGGAACCGGGTTATACCTGTTTAACGTAATGCCTTTCGGATTGTGTAATGCTCCTGCTACGTTTGAGTGACTGATGCATCTAGTTTTGCGAGGCCTTACATGGAGAACTTGTCTTGTATATTTAGATGATATCATGATCATGGGAAATTCGTTCCAAGAACATCTCAATAACCTGAAAGAAGTTTTTGACCGCTTCCGGAATGCCATCTTAAAACTCAATCCAAATAAGTGTTTCCTATTTCAAAAAAAAATGGAATTCTTAGGTCACATGGTATGTGAGGATGGTATACAAGTTATGGAAGGAAAGGTATATACAGTCAGGGATTGGCCAAAACCACGCGACAAACATAAACTAAGGAGTTTTCTAGGATTATGTTCTTATTATCGAAGATTGTTCAAACAATAAGGATGCACAACGTATGATTTATCCCTGTTCTTATACGAATTTCAATAGCAATTTTAGGGAAAAATACACTACGTCTTTGTCATGTCATGTAATGAATGGCTGGTGGCAACATCGCACAATGAAATGTTTGGAATTTGAATTTGTGTTGGAAAGTATTATTTAACGCGATTGTTGTTGTATTCTGAAGATGTGCATGTGTGGATTGGTCAAGTGTCTTCGTATGTGTGTGTCCGTGTGGACAACAAATGCATGGGTGAGTTTAAAACAACCCCAATTCGCCCACATTTGTACATTTGTTTTGAATTTGAACATCAGTCACCAATCGGCTGAGGCAAAGTCCACTTAAGTCAAGGCCAGCTTTGGGGAATGTTCGATAACCTGTGTCCGGTAATCAAGTAACATAGAATTCTATTCGAGCAAGTCCCTCTGCACTATCAGCTCCAGAACGGGGCCATTGCCACACCATCGCCCCGATCCAAATACTTTGGTGGGACTTTTGGTACCTGAGTTTATGTGAAAAAGTGCCTTTTTCGAGTGACACTCTGGTGTCAAAAGTGCCTTCCAAACTGCGTAGGAAAGCCGGGACTACATAACATGATGTCCCAAAAAGTACAAGCAAAAAACTGATAATGATGATTTATTTGGCCATCCTTGCGACGGTTGTAGAATGGTGACATGCAGAAATTGCGAAAAATGGGGGGCAACGGAAATAAGATTTATTCAAACGTTATCTAGAAAAGTTCCATACTTTTGCGGCGATTGTGCCAAAGAAAGAACAGGCTCAATCATCAGACAACTAGAACAGATGGACATTAAGAACAAAAGCTCAATTGACCGATTGTCAAAAATGGAAAAGGCAATAAGTAATCAACGAAATGAAATTTTAGAACTAAATGAAGAAAATGAAAGCTTGAGACTCGAAAAAACAGAGGTAGAGGTGTGTATGCAGCGAAAACAGAGAGCAACGATGGATTTTGAGGACGAGGTTTTCACAGCCGAGGAGAGACCTTACTACTTTAAAAAATGAAAATCTTGAGCTCCAGTCACAAGTAAATAATCTTCTAAAAATCATATCAGAAACGGAAGAAAAAATGAAGGTTGTAGAAAATGAGGTTCAAGATTTACTGGAGCTTAAAAATAATATGTTGTCGACAATAGCAACACTGGAACAAGATAACAAGGTCTACGTCAAAGAATATAAAGAGACTCAAAAAGAGTTATTCACGCTAAGAACTAGAAATCTGCCAGTAAATATTAATCTGGACCTAAGCAGACAGCAAATTGAACATGTTCCTGACCAACAGGTTGATGGAAAACAACAGCTAAATGAGCGAGACAGAGCTCATATTAACAACAAATTACCGATGGAAGCAAATAATGAAGTTAAAAAAGAAAATAAAATGCTTATCTTGGGAGACAGCTCTGTCTTTGACCTTTACAAGTTTATTGAGAGACAAAAAACTCTTGATAATTTCAAAACTCTCATTTGTCAAGCACAACGCATGCTTAGAGAGTATTGCAGAAGATATATGTGGATTAACCAGAGAATTCGACAAAAAGGACTTCGTTATTGTTAGTGCAGGTCCGCAAAATGCAATTAGGTTCGGGGGGTAAAGTAGACATATCAGTATTGGATAGATTATTTCAAGTGGGAGCTCGAACACATATAATAATATTGTCAACGCCCTTGTGGGCAAGCCGTGTTGTTCTCAATAGATTCATTGATCAGATAAATATTAAGCTCTTTGAATTTGTGAAAAATCATGAAGATAATTCGAATGTTTTCTTGAATTTAAATTCTTTCGTAAACTCGTCCTTTTTTACCTTTTATCGGAACAATCCAAAAAATATCGCAACATCGAATATAGCCGAATAAATATCAGAACTTATTTCGAGTCATTTTTTAATGTCTTAGTCAACGCCCAAACTTTGGAACCCAGTTTAAATATTGAAAGCAGCGCTAAAAGTTCTAATTCGATTCAGCATATCAAATGCAAAGTTTCACTATTTTTATTGAATGTTCAATCATCACGAGAGAAATTAGATGAACTAGCTATTTTATTGAATGATTTGAATATGCCTTCTTTTGTGTTGTTGACCGAGCATTGGCTCAAGGAGGGCGAGTTATGTCATATTTCAGAGTAGGTACAAGGTAGCGTCTAGATACTGCAGATATAATGGATACGGAGGAACAATGATATTGGTGAATGACAACTTTTTTAGTGATGTTGGGAGTTTGGACGGCTATAACTTTCTTATCAAACCAAATGAATTTGAATTCTCTGTTGTACAAATTAAGAAATTGAACATTATTTTACTTTGTGTCTATAGACCGCCTTCCGGAAAGACCGTCACGTATTACGGATCACTCTGAAACGATTATTGACTATGTATGTAGTAACATTGAAGAAAGTGATGTAAGGTGTGATGTTGTTCCTTCTAGCATTTCAGACCACGAAGCGCTTTCGGTGGAAATTTTGGTGTACGGCGATGAGCGCAGAAGGGTAGCAAAAGTAGGTAGAGTGTTTAGCACAAGTAATTTCAATGCGTTCAGACACTTGGCCCATAATATAGATTGGGAAAATATTCGGAACAGCAGCAATCCTTTCGAAGACTTTCAGAAGTCTGTACAGAATATTTTCAATCAAAGTTTCCCCTTTTAGAAAAATGAAGACCAAGAAAGAAAGGTATGGATAACACGGTGTTTGAAGGTCTCTGGACGAAATCTTCGATCTCTGCATACTGTTAGGAAATTCATAAATTCGGAGTGGTTCAATGATTATTTCAATCTTTACCGAAAAAATTATAAAAAACTAATTAGGGTAGCAAAAAGGCAATATTACAATGGGCGCGTTAACGATGCAAATAATGCTGTTAGGGAGTATTGGAGAATAATCAACGAACTTCGTGGAAAAACCAATAAATCCACAAACAAAATACAAATTGAACTAGAGGAACTTAGTAACTTTTACTGTTCCATAGCAGGTAACTTAACGAAAAACTTAAAAACAAATCGTGATCCGGTTCCCTTCTTGACGCCATTTTCAGTCAAAGATTGTTTTCATTTGACACCAACAAATGTAGATGAACTAAAAAACAGAATTCCTCGGGCGTTGATGGTCTATCTATAAAAATCTTTAAGAATCTCCCTGAAGCAGCACTTAATAGTCTTACTGAGTGTATCAATCAGTCTTTCACAGCGGGAATGTTTCCGGACTGTTTAAAACTTGCCGTGATTATTCCCGTTTTTAAGGGAGGCGACGAAACAGACCCCTCTAATTATCGCCCGATTTCTCTGCTGACAACTCTATCAAAGATAGTCGAGAAGATTGTTAAGATTAGGCTCTTGGAGTATTTGAAGGGAAACAACATATTGCATCCAGAGCAGTTTGGTTTCCAGGAAAAGAAAGGAGCGCTCGATGCCATTTTTATGTTTCTTGAAAATCTTTTTCTGGGATTAAATTATGGAGAAAGGGCCGCGGCAGTATTCTGTGATTTCTCTAAGGCGTTTGAATGCGTGGATCACGGGATACTGCTGAGGAAGCTTGATCACTATGGTATTAGGGGAAAGGAATCGGATTGGTTCGGGTCGTACCTTGAGGGAAGAAGTCAGTTCGTTAGAGCACAAAACAAAGACTCTGAAAGAAAAAGAATAACTTATGATGTACCTCAGGGATCTGTACTTGGACCAATACTTTTCTTAGTCTATATAAACGACTTAGCAGACCTGCCCATTGGAGGTCTCTTTGTGATTTTCTGCGACGATACGACCATTCTATAGAAAAACAAAAACGCCGCAGTTCTTGCGGAAATTATGGAAAGGGAATTACTGTTGGTTAAGGAGTGGTGTGCTTGTAATCGTCTGGTGTTAAATGTGTCGAAAACAAGTATTGTAACATTTAAATGTAGCATTGAAAATATTTCACTGGATGAAAATGTTATCGCAGGGAAACAAACAGCTAAATTTCTTGGATTGCACATAGATTCGCAGCTGCGATTCGACAAACACATAGATTTATTGAATAAAAAACTTTCACAGGGGTGTTATATAGTTAAATCTATAGCACATGAACTGGGTAAGCATGCCGCGAAAACAACATATCATGCACTGATCGAATCGCATCTTCGCTATGGGGATAGCATTCTGGGGGTTTTCCACTCCAAACTCTATTCAATCGGTGTTTGTACTACAAAAAAGAGCAATTAGATATATTTGCCATGCAGGATACGGACAGAGCTGCAGACCACTTTTTAAACGGGAAAGAATTTTGACAGTTCCCTGTATATTCCTTTTGGAAACAGCCTGTCTAATATTTAAAAAATTAAAAAATACTGATACAGTGAGAGATACTGGTTACAACCTACGCAACCAAAATTTTCCATTACCCATTCCGAAATTTGCCTTAACGAAAAATTCTATTATATATGAGAGCATTAAGATCTTCAACAAGTTGCCAGACGAAATAAACGGTGTGGAGGACTATGGACAATTTAGAAAAACTTCAAAGAGATTTCTGGAAACCAAAGCCTATTACAGTCTTGGGAAATTCTACTCAGACTAATCTTTTAATCTTTTACTGTGATCTTTAAACTGTGATTCTTAAACTGTGATATTTTCAATTTTTCAATTACTAAATTATTTATTTTTAATAGGCCTAAACTGTTTCATGTAGTGTTTGACTTTATTTATAGTGATGATTGTTTTTTGAAAATTTTGCTACCATCCCGCGCTGACTCGTCGGTTCTGTGTTGGATTTGCTGAGGTATCTGGACGCTATCAAATCTAGCCCATTATAATGTTCTTTTATTTATGTATTGTAAACTATTCAGGTGTTGTTGATTGTATATAGAATTTTCACTGTAATTTTATTGCTTGTCTTTCTAGTTTTTTGTCTTATTTTTACTCTCAACACTGACATATTAATTTTAACTTAGTATACATTTTTAGGATATAGGAAATTAATTTTAGACTTTTTTTTTGGCTTTGTCAATGGAATTTACATAATTTTTTGGACAAAAAAGCTTTTTTTGATTTGATTTGATTTGAATCTTTCAATATTCATGTACGTTGGGCGTTGGCTTCGGGGATCCACCATTCTTCCTTTGAGGATTATAAAACCAAACTCTGCCATCCTTCTGGGAACCTGCATAGTTTGCCTCAAGATCATATCTCGTTTTTATTCATTGAGAACTCTGTCTATTCTTTAACTATTTCATGGATGTCAAGCAACCTTTTCGGCAAATCCTCAGTAATCTTCGACTCCGATATCTGCATCATCTGCTGATCCGAACACCAAATTACTAGGTAAACGAAGCGCTCTTCCAAACAGTATCTTGGCTGGTGCCTCTCCTGTTGTGTTATGTGCAGCTGCCCTGTAAGTAAACTACTGTAGAGAGATGTTCTCCGATCATATTGCTTGCTGATCATGGATGTAATGCTGTGGTTCTGGTATTATAAATCCCCAGGAGTTCACAAAGTTTCTGCAATAATCGCGACTCGAAGTTGCACTTTTGATCCGAATGCAGTTCCTATTGGATTCCAAACCTATTGAAAACATTGTTGATGATGACTCTTGCAACTGTAGTTTTTTTTTGGATTCGAATACCGAAACCTTCAGGTTACTTGCTGAAATGATCCACGACAACCAGGATGTAGTTTGATCCATAAATTTGTTCTACATTTTTTGTTCTCACAATAATCTCTCCCAATAACACGGTAGGGTGAACCTAATTTTGCATTCGCTCCAAAACCGTTATAGGTTCACCATGTGGACATATGTTATGACGGACAGCCGTTTTATTAATTAAATAGTGCGAGACGGTCTAGCGAGCTATGCTAATTGCGTCCTGGCTCCCTATTTACATAATGGACCATATTTTAAAGCCCGTGGGTAAACGCAAATGCACGTTACTTTCTCCCCGAAATGGGATTTGGAGGTAATGAAAAACATTTTCATTAGTTATGGTTGCTTGTTTTAATTTAAACTTATAGTAATTTTACTTGGTAATAGCTATAGTATGGTCCGGTGGTGAGTTTAATTATTTTCTATTCAAGTTATTTCCTACTTAAAATAAACGCTTAATTTACAAAATGTCCTTTTGTTTGGTCATAAAATAGGAAAGAATATGGTTTTTGGACCTTGTTGGACACACGAGCGGTTTATCTAATTGTATAACATCAAATTTTGTTTTTATTAATAACCTGGTTATTTTCAGACAACACCCTAAAAACAATAATTGCTTGCAATTGCATGAGAGCGAGCGGCTGGCTTATTTCTAATACGACTGTTTTACGACTGGCGCCTGAGTGATACATTTTTGCTTCTTTCTTATATAACTCCCATGACGGATCTGCGTCCACTCTTCCACTTAAGAAATTACTCACTCTAAATGAATTGAATTTTAATTAGATTGCCTAAGCTGCACTTGATTATTCATTATTTTGTAAAAAAATCGAATACATTTCGGACAATCATTTTCTAAGTTCGATAAAGATTACCTTAATTTCAATTGTGGTGTAAGTCCCAAAAAATGCAAGGTAATAAATCCACTTTAAACAGACAGACATTTATTATAC